ATATTGATGTTTTACCCTTAATTTGTTGTACTTTGACGTTGTTCATACTGTTATCGTTAGTAAAATATTGCCCTTGACAATTTAACGGAGTTCTATCTAGCATAAGTTGAGTGGAATTTTTCATCTTATCGTTCATTACATTAGGTTAGGAGATCGAACCAAGCACGTGAAATGCACGACATTATTTCGCGTGTCAAAATATTTTTAAAAAGTTCTATTTACCCTTTTACTTTTGACTATAGTTTAGAACTATTCTCTGTTATACTTCAGATTTTGAACTCCGTTAACGTCAAGGTTTGCTTATAACTCCATCACTTATAATGTAGGAAAAATATTCAAATTTACTCTTTTACTATATATATATATATATATATATCAATGGTTTACCCTAATTTTTTTGTATTTTGGCGTTGTTCATACTTTTTTTTTTTTTGGTTTCCCACCCGGTGTCCGGTACCCGCATTGGAGCCCGACTATATCCGGATTCACGCCGCGTAAGGCCCCATTTCGGAAGGAAGCGCTCCCTACCAAGAATTTTTTTATATCCAGGGCGCGAACTCGAGACCTGTGGTTAAGGAAAAAACAGTCGCATCCACTGCACCACATCCTTTAGTGGTAGGGTTGTTCATACTTCATAGTAATAGCAAAATATTGCACTTGACAACTTAAGGGAGTTCTAGCGTAAATTGAGTGGATTTCGTATGTTAAAATATTTTTTTTAAAAAAATCCTATTTACCCTTTACTTTTGACTGTGGTTAGAACTATTCTCTATTATACTTTAGTTTTGAACTCCATTAAGGTCAGGTTTGCTAACGACAATGGTACGAAGGGTTAAGTATAACGATGGATAAAATTAAATAACTTTCGTACAATAGAGGTTCACTTTTACCCCTTTTATGTAAAAATGTAATTACAAGTAAATATATATAATAAGCATAATTAGGGGTGTTCATAAAAAACCGATAAATTGAACCAACCCGAAAACCAAACCAAACCGACCAAAAAAATCGATACTTTTTAGTTTGGTTTGGTTTGGTTTTGGTTTTGAATTTTAAAAACCGATCAAATTTGGTTTGGCTTTGGTTTTAATCAGAAAAAAACCGAAAAAACCCGAACCAAACCGACTATAGGAGTAGCTATTTCAAATTTATTATTACACCTATATATATATGTATATTTTTATACAAAGTTTCAAAATTTTTATGGTAAATGTTAATAGTTTGCACTTTTAGTATAGTTCTTTACCTTTATATTCTTGTTTGATTGGTAGTTTTCTTTTGTTAAGCGTAAGAATCCATTTCGTGTTAAAAATAATATATTTTTAATTGAGTCCTTAAATTATTCATCACTATTTGATTGAACTATCATCAATATATCTTGGTAAATAATAGATTTCTCAAAGGGCAATTATTTGATAGTGTAACGTTGAAAATGTGGTCGCCGGAATATGTGTTTGGTAGTGTATGTCTTATATTTAAGAAAAAACCGAAAAATCGCAAAACCCGACATAAACCGAATCGAGAAAAAACCGACTTAATTGGTTTGGTTTGGTTCTAATATTTGAAAAACCGACTTGGTTTGATTTCTTTTTAGGGAAAAACCGATCCAAACCGAACCATGAACACTCCTAAGCATAATTAGTAATCTGATAAAAATAATAACTAACCCGCTGTCACATATTAAACTGTATTAGTAAAAAGATTACTCACCGAGTGGTTCATCTGTGAAAGGTAAATATCCTTCTTGCTCTTCAATCCATTATCTCTATGAAAAAAGCTAGGCTTCTTGAATTGATCCTTCTGCTGTTTTCTTCGAATGGGAATTGTCCCTTTTGGACAATTTCCACTTTTCTGCCATATTTGTGTTGTGACAAAATTGTAGGATTTTTGGTCTGTTTTTGTAGCTTTTGTTGTGAGGGAATTCTCCATCACTGGATTATCACTTGGTGTCATCTGATTAATGAAGCAAAATGGTTTTAATCTGCAGCTTTATGAATGAAATATATGTATCTTTTTCTATAATGATATAACTAATATCCTCCGTTTAATTTTATGTGAAGTTGTTTGATTCGGCATAGGTTTAAGAAAATAATTTTTTTTTTGAAATTTGTGGTCTTAAATATACAGTAAAATCAACGATTGATGCTTGCAGTAGTGAAGCCTAGGAATTTTCCTAAGGGTGTTCAAACTGGAAAGAAGTAAAAAAATTCCCCGAAAAAGAGTTTTCAATATATGTTATATACCTCTAAAACCTAATATTTTACCTCTATAGACAGTGTAATTTTTCGACGAAGGATGGCCAATTGACCATCTTTTAAGATATATAGCTTCGCCCTGGATGCTTGCATCAGGGTAAGCTGCCTACATTACACCCACTTGAGGTGCGGCACTTCCCCAGATCCTGTATGAACGCCGGATACTTTCTGCATCGGGTTGCCCTTTTTTTATGATCTTAAACATGCCACGTATATTTATATAGCCATAATCATGTCACTAACAATAGAATGAGAAGTTCAAAATTATTCTTTTTCAAATATAAAAAGTGTAACTTTTTTTGGAGCACATTAAAAGAAAAATAGTATCATATAAAGTGGAATACGGGAAGTATATATAATCTGTGTACTTTAACATGGTGTAATAAATAAATAACTAATCTTCCTTATTTTTCAAGTTACTATCTCTGCATTTTATGAATGATTAGTTAAGTTATCGTTTAAGCGACCTGATAATATAAAAATACTTTTATACTTTAATATTTATAATTGTATTAATAAACTATTCATATAATTGTTAATGTCAGCTGATTAATTGAACAAACCTGGATTTTGTGGTTCTTCAAAGCAGGATGCGACAAAGCTGGCTGCTTGAAAATGTCAATGCAGTCAATGACATCTCCATCTTCACTCTAACAAAAAAGTCAAAAGAAAAGAAAAAAAAAATCAAGTAACACTCATTGTATAGATAAACTATTATATTCAATAAGAAAATATAAATTAGAGAAAGGAAAAAATTATAATACCACTATATAGTAATACTTTGATACTGAGCAAGTCAAGTGAACTAGCTTGGTGAAAGCGAAAAGGAAACGGCACTACAGAGGACTATGTTGTTCGGACTTTTTAAAAATATTGTCGAGTGCTTCAAAAGCAATGTATTTTTTTAAGGATCCGATATGGATGCAACAGTTTTTGAAAAGTCCGAACAACATAGCCAGAGAAAATTCCATTCTTCCTTCTTTTGGTAATAAAGAAAGTAGGTTTCAGAAGAAACTGGGAAATGTTTTTAAAAAATTATATATATAATGTACATAAAAATATTACCCATACCTGAATGCTTTTAACTGCAAAAACATTTCCTCCCCTGGCAAATAAGGCAAGAGTTATTACCAGTAACAATATGGCTATCAATTTAAATGCCATTATCATTTTAGAAAGCAAACCAAAAATCCAATCAATTTGTTGAATAATTGTAATGATTATGTTATTGGAGAACTCCTTGATAAATCTTGTCTCTATAAGTGTTCCTGTTACATGAAGAATAGCAGGTTTAAACTAATCTCTATATAGATTTGCATGACTTACCTACCAGTCTAATTTCTAACACCATTTATAATGCATTTTGTTATGTCTTTCTATTTTCATTTGATTACTTGTTTTTGCAGTCTTGCATTGTCAGTCCTTAGGTAAGTATGTATTCATGGTTAAGTTGCTCGAAACTTTGTTTAGTATATATTTCATGAGTTTAAGTTATATGCGCTGTTAGTATAAATACTTTCAAACATTAACAAGTCACGCTAATGGTATTTACAGATAAGCCTCCTTAAAATGTGAGATTTGTAATCTTGAAAATAAAATACGTCACCCACAACAAAAGGTTAAAATAATCTAATAGTGTACTTTTTTTTCTTTCTTTTTTTTACACTTACTGGTGTATATAATTTAAACTCACATTTCACTCCACCAATTTAGATTACAACATTGTCAAAGACCACCAAAATATGTGCTTCCAACGAGCTTCTGAGGCATGGCTCGTTTCTCCCTCGGCGTAGGTTACTAACATGCACTTCCAATGGGGAGGAGAGCTCGTGTAGCATCTCAGAAGGCAATAATGGCAGCGAAATCACTAGCTCAAATTCAGCGAGGAAATAAGGCAGTTGGCAAACAAGTGACGAATCCACCAATTGAACCTCCTAATCCTCGAGGAGGCAATGAAACAGTAACCCTAACAATTGGGGAGGAGAAAATACAAAGTTTGAAAGTCGTAAACTAATGGAACAAGACCAGGCAAGGCTCCAAGGTAGGAAATCATGGGCGGAGCAAGTGGAGGAGGAGGAATCGATTGAGAAGAAAACCTCGGTATGGGACAATTTTGATATTTCTAAAATCTCTAATGCTGGATTCAAATTAGAATATGTATCTCCAACCGTGCAAGGTGATTCGAACATACTTGAATTAGAATTGGAAAATATAGAATCGGAAGTTGAATACTGGAAAAAAATTGTTGTTTGCTATGTCCTAGGAGCTTATCCCCCCCTTTTGTTGTTATTAAGGGGTATGTTCAGAGGCTATGGGGTAAATATGGATCGAATAAGATTGTAATGTTGAAGAATGAGATTGTGTTGGTTAGATTTGACACTGAATCGGGCAAGAATGATGTTGTGCAAGGTGGCATTTATCACTTTGATATCAAGCCTTTCATTGTGAAAGCTTGGAACCTGACATGGAGTTCACAAAGGATGAACTGTATACAACTCCAATTTGGATAAAATTACCAGGTCTGGACTTCAAGTATTGGAGCAAAAAAGGACTGAGTAAAATAAGTAGCTTGGTAGGGAAATCTTTAATAGTGGACCAAAATACTTAGAGGAAGATAGGGTTGAACTTTGCCAGGCTATTGGTGGAAGTGGATATGGATGCGAAACTGCCAGGTACCATCCTTTTTAGAAGTGAAAAGGGGCAGGTGGTGGAGCAGAAGGTCACCTACGATTAGAAGACAACTTTATGCCAATATTGTAGGAAATATGGTCATTCTGAGGAAATTTGTAGGAAAAAGAATCCTGCTCCAATACCAATACAGAAGGAGACTGAGAAGCAGGGTGTCACGACCCAAACTGAAGGGCCGCAACGGGCACTCGTGCCTTACTCAACCGAGTACCAACGTAACATATCTTTCTTATCATACTATCATGGGTAAATGAGTTAGAAAACCCGTCATGAGATAACAAGAATAAAACATAAGGGAATACTCAACATATGATGACCCAACATGATATACAAACTTATACATGTGGCATACGGGCCTATAAGGTCGACATGACCATTTGTAAACTCAAAACATAGACCGACAAGTCCATACAAGTATCCATACACCTGACATATATCTAAAAGACTCTAAGAGTACATAAAACCATAATGGTCGAGACAGGGCCCCGCCATACCAATCAATACATATCTAAAGCATACTGATCAAATAGGCAACTCCGGAGCAAGCGGAGTGCACCGGCACCTTCCGCTGAGCTGATAACCTACTAGGAGGAATGTCAACCTGTCTATCAGGACCTGCGGGCATGAAATGCAGCGTCCCCAGGCAAAAGGGACGTCAGTACGAATAAAGTACCGAGTATGTAAGGCCGGAAAGCATAAACAAGAACAGTAATGTAAAGAGAGATAGATGAGATATAACCTGTAACATCTGAGTGCCTTTGGGGGATACTGACATGAAATGCATAATACATATATACATAAACTTTTAATAACAAATGCCTCTGTGGGCATCATCATCATCATATCGTACCCGGCCTCAAAGAGGACTCAGTAAAATTGTACCCGACCATCATAAGGCTCGGCAGAATCGTACCCGGCCACGTGGAGCTCGGTAAACCCAACTGATCAGTGGTTGCACAATAGGTGTCGTACCCGACCGACTATAGCGCGGCTCAGTAGAGTAAAATAGATACTATATATAATGTATGCTAGACTCATGGAATCACGTTCTAAACCTTTCGAAGTGACTTAAGGTCGTTGCACTTTAGATTAAAATTATAGACATCCATACCCTCAATATGAACCTCAGTAAGATTCATGGATCATACACACTTGCTTAGAATAACTTAATAAGGAAAGAACAACATGGACAATCTTAGTTGCTAGGAGTAGATCTGTTATGAAATAGAATATCGTTTATGTTCGTGTTATTTTAGATCATGCCAAAAGAAAGAAAGAAGTGCCTTAACATACCTTAACTACGTTGAGTCCTTAATGCCTTCCAAGCAATTCTTCAAACAACTAAATCTAATCTACCACAGCATAAGGAGATTCAAAATCAATGTTGAATAAAGGCTAAGTCCGCAACTTAAACTAGTAGCTTGTTTACGTAAATTTTGGCAGCATCTCCCCTATAACAAGGCCATCCTCCAATACCATATACCAACAACAGCAAGAACACAACAATAAAAATATGTATGCATCATGTTCCAACCTTATCTCCATCACAATATACCACAAAACAGCCCACACACCCTAATCACTTCATACATAAAACGACAACTAAAGTAGTGTCCAACAACCTAAAAATTGTAACGACGAACGACCAGCCAACCACCCTGCCATTATGTGGTATTTATCAACACTCTTTCTCCTCCTAAACTCCATAAAAACATTAGCAAAATAGACAAACCGACAGCAACACGAAACAGCCCACAAAACGGTCCCACAAGTTCAATAACACAAAACTAATTTTTCGGTTTACTAAAATATGTTTCGACTTGTCTTTTCTTTCAAATTGAGCAACAAAACCAACAGTACATAATTAAGCCTCTTATCCTATAAACCAGCCATCAATTCAACTTAAAAATAAGTTCACAACTAGCCAACAGTGATGCGACAACAAACAACATACCACTCATTCGAAACTCGCTAGGTCTAGTCTTTACGGTCGAGTTACAACTCGTACAAGCATAGATAATGGAAGGAGAAGCATAAACTTACCTTGGACTGAGTAGAACAATGAAACCTAGTCCTTCTCCATCAAAAATCAGTCCCCCAACGCAGAAACATGAAGGGGAAAGAGAAACTAGCCAGCTGTCCGGGGTTTTCGGCACTAGAATCACATCGTAACATCCGGGATAACCTAGGGTTTGTGTGGGATTTTTGGGGAGGAGCTGCAGGGTTTCACTTTGGTTTTAATGGTCTGAAATATGAGTGAAATAAATTAGTTAATTATCCCTTAAAAGTCCCCTCTTGGCCTACTTAGTTGAGGCCTCTCCTTTTGGCAAGTAGGTGATGCACCTACTTGTCACCTACCAGCCTGCGCAATCTTGCAAAAATACGAGCATCTCTCTACTCCAACTTCGTATCAACAAACGGTTTAATGATTTGAAAACTAGATTCATAGATCTTCAATTTGGTAGGTAGATCATCCCCTAATTCCAAGTATATTGGGAGAAAAACTCAGTTACATTTGACCTAATTTTCAGCACATTTATGAATGGAACTTGTGATGACCTTTTCCAACTTTTGTTCCACAACTCGCTTGACTTCAAAACTTAACACCAACTATCATACGACTAAAATAACTCATATTATAATATCCTTATAATGTTAATCACCCTAGTTTCACCCCAAAAGTACATGGTAAAACATTCCAACTTGTCGACTTTCGACGAAACTTATTTTCTTCAATTTGTTTAGCTTCTAAGCCTTCAAAACCTCTTGCTACTTGGTATCAATGATCTTAAATATTTGTAACCTCCCCGTTAACATGATGAACTAACTTTGTAAACTTTTGAAAGATGATTCCATTTCTGAGCTTACATTAATTGATTTATGACGTACTCTTACGTACGAAAACATGGGGTGTAACATCATTCCCCCCTTTAAAACATTCGTCCTCGAATGTTGACTAATGTGCTTATCTGTCTCATAACCTATAGCTCTTACGAATACTTTAATATTTTCCTTGACATCTAGGAAACTGTTCTGTAAATAAATCCAAAGGCCAGGGTATTCCCCCCCTTTAGGCCTCTTTCTCATACCACGACATGTGGTTGGAATTCTTCAAATCCCGTAACTGTTGTTACCTTCTGACATGCATCATGTACAATCGTGTACTTGTATGTGTGCCTATGCGACCCTTCTCTCCTCTTTCCTCCATCTTTTAGCCAATCTCTAGGCCTCACTTTGTGAACATATACAGAACTATGACAAGATGTCTAGGCATCTATAGGTGTACTAAAGTTCTTCGCTTGGTGCTTTGTCGAACTTACGACTATTGCTATACATTGCTCCATAGCCTCGGTTATCTATGCTTTTGGTTTTACTACATCTAGGTAGGCCATACTATATCCTAACTCTTACTTCGATTTATTATTACCGAGGTCTGCTACCCAACTCCAGGTTACTCTCTTACTGCTTATCTTATATGTATAAATCTAAGTCATTTAATGCTTCCTTATTACTGTTCATCTAAATAATGGCATCATAATCTCCTCTCATACTTTGGAACTCTTATCCATCTATTGTTGATTTACCTTAACGTTGATCTATAATCCACCACTGATAACTTGAAACCTATTACGTAATACATTGTCACTAGGGATCATGTCTCAT